ATTAGCATTAGCCGCGGTTAGTGCAAAATAAACAATGTTCAATCCTGCCTGTTAACAACAAAATTTCCGGGCTATCACTCTCACCGTATTCACCCAACTTAAAAAGTAGGAATGACACCGCATTTCACCACTTACTCCCACGATTTACCCTGAAATCAACAACTCGTTTGCAACCGTTCACAACAACAAGATGGAGGCATTCTTACTACGGGACACTTTTTACTGTTACACAGGAAGTGGAACTACAAATCTACACAACATTAAAAAATGAAATCGCTAGTAAATTAAAGCAAATAATACAAATTGAACACCTTTACCGATCATTTTTATCCACTGAAAAATTTTAAAGATTGCTACCATATTATAATCGTCGGTCCTAGCTTACATGAAATATCCTCCTTTTAAAGACTGAAAAAATGATGGTCCACCCGTTTAAACGCACGGCTAACTTTGCAATAATACTGTTCCTACCTTTCCAATACCGAAGTTATCTTATCTCATCCTTCAGCTCTTTCAACAAAGAACTTCTGCCATTTCTTGTTTCTAATTGCCTACCTTGAGCACTGCTAGAAGCAGGTATTGGTCCATGTGTGTAGGTTTCCGATATACTTCTACCTTCAAGCTTCTGTCCCCTCCCAAGTGGACTGCACAATCCAGAAAGGCCAGACAGTTATCTCTGGCATCCTCATGAGTGAATTTGATGTTGTCCTCCACAGAGTTGATATGTTTGGTGAAAGCCTCTACCTCCTGGGTCCTGATTTTAACCCATGTGTCATCCACGTAGTGGAACCAGTGGCTGGGAGCGGTGCCAGTGAAGGAAGCCGGGGCTTTCTCCTCAATTTCTTCCATGTACAGGTTGGCAACTATAGGAGACACTGGGGAGCCCATAGCACAGCCATGTTGTTGCCTATAGAAGTGCCCCCTAAACTGGAAGTAGGTAGTGTTAAACAGAATTCCAGCAGAGTGCAAACATGGTCTGGGGTGAGGCTAGTCCTGTTGTTTAGTGTGTCATCCTTCAGCAGTCTCTTCTTCACCGCCCTGACCGCCTCTGTGATGGGGATGCAAGTGAACAAGGATGTGACATCATATGAGACCATGGTCTCGTCCTGCTCCAGCTGCAGTTGTTGGACTTTCCTTGCGAAGTCCTGGGAGT